TGGAGGACATTATTTAGATGGCTTAATTTGTAAAATGTAAAATTTTTTAGTTGTAGTAGTAAGATCTTGGAGTTTTAAAATAGTTAAGGCATTACACATATAATTAAGAAGCACGGGAGCGTAGGAAATTTGTGCAGTTGTATGCGGTTCAGTGATTAAAATTAGTATTCAGGTAACTCAAAGTTGCAGCAGGCGATGTTTTAAGTTTTCGTCTAGGATTTAATTAATTTCCAGTTAGGTACCTTCTCCTACGTCTTTTAAGAACTTGTGGGTGAATGATAAAAATGATAAGGAATTTAAATAAAATGATATTTAAAAGGAAAACAGATTAAAATGAGTAGAAATTTAAAAAAAAAGTTTGAATGTTCAAACCGGCGCGTAATATAATTTTACAGCAAAATACCAGAAAATTATCAAAGTTTGCCAATAAACTAGTTTAAAAGTTTTATTAAAGAATAATTGTACCAAAACGGGTTTTATATAAACCAAAGGATACATAATAAAAATAACCCCTGGAAATTAAATGAATGGCACCATGTTGGTGCTATTAAAATTCGTTTAAAAATTGTGTTTAAACATTATGTTTAAAAAAACTCGCTAGGTTTACGTGTATTTAAGCTGGAATGGCCATTTGTGCAAAATCATTAAATTTTTGCTTAAAATTTAGTGATAATTTAATGCTGCAAAACTAAATTTCATGTCAAAATAACTTGATCAAAAATTTGAAAACTGCTAGTTTAATTAAAAGTAAAAACTAGTACAGAATTTAAAGCCATTAAATATTATACATATATATGCAGTTAATTGATTCCATTTAATTGAATAATTAAATATAAGTATATTTATTTTATTTTTTGTATGTTTGTAGTATATGTATGTTTATTATATATACATAAAATTTGTATTCTTTTTTATCACACCAATTGGCCATACCCCTGTCATCTTAATGTTGTCCTGGCCACTGTCTGAAAGAAATTGCTATCAGCAATAAGACCGTCCATTGTCCATCTTTTGTTTATATAATCTGTAATTTTTGTATGGTGTGCAATAAAGAATATTAAAATTAAAATAAAATAAAAGTACTCTATCTCCTAAAATGATAACCGCTTAAATATAGCACCACAAAAAGGGGCATCAATAATTCGGTGCTCATTTAGTGCCGTTGATATACGCAAAAAAAATTGAATAAAACTTTATTTTATTATCATAAACTGCTATTTTGACGTCTTTAGCAGTGAATGTAATGAAAAAAATGATATCAGAGTGGGTTATTATCTTATGGAATAAGATGATATATTAGTGGTCACTTAATGCTGCAGGCACATGCGAAAAACAAGCGCTAAAACATTGTTTTGACAGGTTCAGCAAAGTACGTGATCCAAAATTGACATCCAGATGGGTAATCAACTAGTAATATAAGATAATAAATAAGTGCTCAATGTACATGCGAAAAAAAGCGCAAATTTTTTTTACCGTAAACTATTACTTTAGCAGGTTTAGCAAAGTATGTGATAAAAAATTAACATCCAGGTGAATTACCTAGTAATATAGGATCACAACTCAGTGCTTATTTAATGCTTAACGCCCGAACTTAATAACGTATCTCTTTTTTAAGATTAATGGCAATCCGAGATTGTACCCTATACAAATATCGATCCAAATCCACATCCCAATAACATAACTTAACAAGCCCAATCTTTTTTTTGCGGCGATCACAGTCGATCCAAACAGATGTTTGGATCGATACGTTTCCTCTCCACTCTTTCGTTTTATGCATAGCGACTGCTTCTTTCAAATAGTTGTATTAATATAATAACATAAAATGTAATTTTAGATTTATAACTATTGACTTTAATTACAAGTTATTACATTAACTCCCTTTTTCTCCCTAAAATTATAAAATGATTATATTTTTATTTAAATCAATGTAACTATGGTTTGAAAACAATCACGTAACGGAACGCCGCCGGTCAGTAGCGGCCGCAGCGTCATCGGTCATCGCTCATCGCGTCGGTCAAAACAATTATCAAGTTTCATTGCTTCGGTTCGATCATTTGTATTCGTAATTCTTGACAAGCATTTATATGATATAAACCTTTTTTCGAATCAAACTAAACTTTGAAACAGAAATATTTACAGCAAATACTTTTTGAATAATAAAATAATGGAGTCACAAATAGTAAGTTAAATTGTAATACATAAGATATTGTATCATTTGATGCTTGATGTACAACTACATAAATCGCTTTTTATTTCAGATAAAGAGCAAGCCACTTTCAAAAGATGAAAACAAAGCCTTACTCGAACTTATTGAAATGAGCAAAATTATAATATCTAAAGCCACAAACGCCAGCAGCAATAAAATGAAAGACAAAGTGTGGGTACGAATAGCCGAGCAGTTTAATGCTACAGCAACAAGTTGTCGTCGGACACCACAACAGCTTCAGTTGAAATGGGAGAATTTAAAGGAGAATGCACGTAAACGTTGCACTAAAATAAGAATGAACAGCATAACCGTTAGTTTCGTTGTTTATTTATTTTTAATCTAAGTATAAATAAATGATTATCCATTTTATTTACATTCTTTATTAATTTCATCTTTTTGATTTGCAGACTGGCGGTGGTGTTGGTGAGTATATACCCCCAGACGAAATACTGGATCGTGTTACCAGCTTATTGGGGAATACAGCTAGTGGATTAGTTGTTCCTTATGGGGGAGATAAGGAACCCGAGCACTTTGTAGTGATTAGTGATGGTGGTGGTATTGTGCCAAATGGAAATGGTGTAGAGGAATTAGGTGGTGATAATAGGGTCAATCTAGAAATCCTAGAAATTCAGGACACACCAGTGCCAGATCCGCAAAAGGAAATGGTTGTGACCCCTACTTCTCCACATTCAGCAATGGCTCAGGTTAACACCTGTGCTGTTGCTGAACAAATTAAAGTTTCGGATACTCCACGGAGAGTAACATTCAATGTTCCTAATACGGTAATGGTTATTTTGATGTTGATAGAGTTTTAATTTATAAGATAATAATTTCACATATTGTTCCATTCGCTGAGGTGGTGGTATGGTCACTAACTTGTAGTCCGCTTTAGTTTAAAAGCAGTGTAAATTGAGGTAAAATAGTAATATGCAAAAGATATACTCCTTTTTATTAAATAAATAAAATTAATTTGTATTTTACAGGTAAAAGGAAATTGCAGGGTGATGGGTCCAAATTTGCTAGAGACCGTGCCATTGCAGAATATTATACATTTAAAAAACTGTGCCTGGAGTCAAAATTAGAAAATATAAAATTAGAAAACAAAAAACGTAAATTAGAAGATGAAAAACTTCTATTAGAAATAGAAAATTTTAAGAAATAGTTATTTGTGTAATAGTATGTAAGTGTAAAAAATAATTAAGTATTGTGATACATAAAAGACAGTCATGTCTGTAAGTAGTTGTTAATAAATTCAAGCTTTGTATGTATTCATGATTTGTAATATTAGTAGTTATATAGTTTGTATTTGAAAATCTTTTAAACTAATAAAATATGTATGTAATAAATGTATTAAAGTTAGATTAATGTCATGTAGTAATATAGTAATTAAATAGTAAAATCATTTTTATTGAATATTTGTTTTATTTTTACAATTAAATTCACAAAATATAAAGAAAAGTAATACTTGTGATCTCTGAGTTCTTTGCCTGCTAAATAGCCTACAATATATAAATATTATTATTAGCAAATCGTGTTTAAATTGAACAAACATTTAAAAAGGGTAAGTATTTTTACTTACTTGGCGACTATTATGTGGATGATATGTGGTATAAAAGGAGGAAAAAGTAGTTACAAATTAAATACTTTTTTATAAATGTCTAGGTATTATAGTAATAATTGTATTTTAATAGAGATAAATAATTTTTATTGATTTTTTAAAATTTTACAATTAAATTTACAAACTTTAATAAAAAATTAACAACTGATTCTACATTCAATTTTTAACCTTTAACATCAGTGCATGCATCACATCACATTACAATTTGAATACATATTATTTGCACCCACATCTCAAAACAGTTAACAAAAAATAGTTGCTTTATGCAGTTGGTAAGGAGACCGATGAGCTACATCGTTCATAAGTTTTGAGCTTGAATTTTTCTTTAAATAAAATACATTTAAAGAAAAGTGCCACTTGTGATTTCTGATTTCTAGTTAGTCGCCAGCACACAGTTACATGGAGACTATTATAAAACATAGAAGGTAGTTATAATTATTTGACTTCTTTTATATAAATTTATCAATATTATAGTAATTAATGTACATTTTTATAATATACATTAATTACTATAATAAAAATTAAATAAATTAATAAATATAATTAAATTCACAAACAATTTATAAAGAAAAGAAACACTTAATAGGAACTTCACAGTTTATTTCAATTTAACATTTTAAAAAGATTAAGTACTATTACTCACATACGTGGTATAGAAGTAGTAGAAGGCAGTTATAATTTAAGTTCCTTTTTATAAATATAAAAAACATAAAAAAACATAAACACTCACGCCTGTCACCCAGAGGGGTAGGCAGAGACTACAGAATATAGTAATTAATGTGTATTTTTAATAGAGAAATTAATTTTTAATACTTGCTTTATTTTTACATTTGAATTTAAAACTAAGAAAATACTAACAATTTAATTTCTAACTTATTCTACATAATTGTTTTTACCTGTAATGTTAATTAAGGGAGTTATTGGTCCAATGACTGTCAACGTTTCTATAATGTCATAAAATAATTATTTATCAAATCAGTTCTATGGTTTGTAGGAATATCATTAACAACTACATTATGAGGCATTGTACTATTGTCGATAGATGGTAGTTCTACTTCAGAGGGGATTTCTGTGAGATTGTGATTTCTGCAAATATTATGTAGGACTGTAGTTGCTATTATTACTGCCTGCATATTTGGTGTTGACAAACGTAGTGTAAGAGCTACAACAGGGAACCTACGTTTCCATACTCCAAATGCTCTGTAATACAAACAGTTTGTTTATTAAACACCAGTATTCCCATAACACATTTTATCTAATAATACTGTTTTATTTAACATACCCTGCAATGGTATTTCTAGTTTTAATGTGTGCTTCACTGTACCTATGTTCAGTTTCAGAAACTGGATTCAGAACAGGTGTTAATAAATATGGCTTGTTTGGATAGGCACTATCTCCAAGTAACCAGCGATTTCCGAATTGCCCTGCATCACATTCAGCTGTTATAAAAATAAAGAATATTAGGCTCTGACAGTAAATATTCAAATTTATTACAATTTGAATACGTATTATTTACATCTACCTCTCAGAATAGAGTTATTAAATATAGTTGCATCATGCGTAGAACCAGGCCAACGAGCCACAACATTTATAAATTTTAAGTCTGCATCACAAACACCTTGAACATTTAAAGAAAAGTAACCCTTCCGATTTCTGTATTCTTCGCCTATTAAATGACCTAAAATATATAAACATTATTATTAGCAACTTCATAGTTTATTCATATTTGCCAAAATATTAAGAAGAGTTGAGTATAGTTACTTACATGGAGACTGTATGCGGATATGTGTGCCATCAATTGCCCCAAGCGCGAGGAAATCCAGCAATTCCATAGAATTTGTCTGCACTCCTTCGATGAACATAAATATATTTATCATATAATTGGGCAATTGCTGATGATGTGTCTCGCACTATTCTGCCTGCTGTAGATTTTGAAACTCCAACAAAATCTGCTACGGATATCAACATTGTGCCTAGTGCATAAAACCGTAGGGTCAACAAAAGTTGATGCAATGGTGATACTCCGTAATTTCTGCAAAGGATTACATAAAATGAAGTGTATTATATACTTAGATTGTAAAAAATTATCTAATTTGCTACAGACCAGCTTTTCTTTACCTCGTGGATGTTACTCGAAATAATGGGGTTATTTCTAACAATAAAGAATTGAACGCATGTTTGTTCAATCGAAACCTAAAGGTAAAATCACCGTCATCGTGACTTTGCGTATAGTTCACTCTTCTGATTCTCTTTGGAGGGCGGCATAGGGTTTCATCTTCATCACTTGAGTCAGATAACTGAGCTAGCATTTCCAAATCACTGTCACTGTCACTAGATAGTAGTGTTAAATCCATTTTCGCGCAAATAAAATAAAACAAAATACGTAATCGGTTGGAACTCGAAGGATTAATCCTAGGCTTTTCTTGGATTGCGAATTTGGATTGTTTACACCGATCGAATTAAACGTCTAAATTGACAGATAGGTTATTGATACACACAAATTGTCATTCGCCCACAGACGTCTATCTTTTTTTGTAATCCGACCTCCCGAGGATAGCTTGCTTCTACAGATTGTAATTTTAATCCCTGGATTGGTTGTTGGCACTGTCTAACCATAAAATGGATTGAATTATCAATCTTGAATAGCTAAAAATAGATTAAGATCGAATATTAGGTTCGGGCGTAAGTAGCGTAAAAAATTGACATCCAAGTGGATTATCACCTACCGACATAAGATAATAAATAAGTGCTGCAAGCACATGCGAAAAAGATTTTGGAAATTATAATTTTTAATACCATAAATTGCTACAGTAGGGTAGACCAACAGCGCAGCGACTTGAAGTGATGCAAAAGAATTGATTTTCCCAAGGAATTTGCATTCAATATCAATAGAAATCAATATAAGCAACATCAAAACAAGCTAATTTCTACAGCATGATCAAATCTTTGTAATTTGGGTGTGTAAATTAGTCTAGTCAGTCCTCCATGTTTTATTGTATTACTTTAAATCTCGTGGTGACAAGTGTAAATAAATTATTAGTGATTTTTTGTGACAGTGGCAGCCGGATTAGCAAGTATGTATTTCTCCAAATTTTTGCTACTATTATTTTATCTCGTTTTTATGATGTTTTTGATCGATGAATTTACTTAGGTTCGGAGAACTTGGTTAACCATTATTATATTAGCTTATTTTTTTTTATAAAAATGTCACGTATCTCAATTTTGCTTAATTACGCCTCTATGATTTATTTGTTTATCGAGACCGAAATCGGTTTGGTTTTGGATGATATTATTGAGGTATAATTATATTAATAAAACTGTATATTTACAAGTCGACCAATCCTTTTTATTTTGGCAAAGAGGTCGGTGCTCCTTGTAACTCGAACAAGGAGAGCGCGTCAAGTCGAGTGAAAAAAGACTTGAAGCCCCGCCAGCCAAAATCAAAAAAGAAAGCAATTCCTCAAACTCTTTGTAAGCAATTGCGAATCGCATTCTAATGATACACCAGTCCCACCGTCCAAGAAACGAAAATCCTGGGCACTGATTAACTCAGATGTACTTGTTTTAAACTGAAATTTATATGTTATATATTTTCCAAAATAATAATATCAATGTGTTGATATTGGTTAAAGCAGAATTTCTTTCACAGAAGAGGGGCAAACGAGCATGCGGCTCACCTGATGGTAAGTGGCTATCACCGCATATGAACAACCGCAACACCAGGGGAGTTGCAGGTGCATTGATGGCCTTTTAAAAGTAGTAAGCTCTTGAAGGTCCCTAAGTCTTATTGGTCCAGAAAAATCGCCGGTGGTATACAAATCCACAGTGAAGTACGGGGAAGAACACTCCCAGTATAACGCACAGTGGTGGACTGCCAAGTGTCCAGATGTTGAGGATGGTATCGTGAATTTTGACGCAATTTAGCGGCTGGGATTAAGCCGAACAATTCCTAAGAGTACTCCCCGTGGTAAATGCGATAGAAAATGCAAAGAGATGCAATATACCTACGCAGTGCCAGTGAATCGAGCCAATTAGAAAGAACTCGATAGTCAACGATTCGAACCGCTCTACTCTGTATGCGGTCAAGATGAAGGAGCCGGCACTGGGGTGCCTCGGCCCAGAGATTAGAACAGTATTGTATGTGAGGCCGAACTTGCGTTTTGTAAAGTTGCAAGCGATATACCAGCATGAAATACTGTCTCGCTCTGCTGAGCACGCCAAGCTTTTTAGAGGCAATTAGGCCTTCCCAAAACACAAAACTGCACACTATTCGATATGTCGACGCCGAGGATTCCGATGCTAACTAGGGCAGCAAGGGGAGTGCCTTAAAACATACGAAAAAGGGGTTCTTTTTAGCGGTAAACGCGCAAACTTGAGTCTTCTGGGGATTGAACTAGACTAGAGTTAGTCGCCCCTAATCTGAGACTTTGTACAGCAAATAGTCGACTTCAGACACAAGTTTGTCCCGGTACTTGGCGACGTTTTCCCGAGAAATATTTGCACGGCCGGTGTATAAGGCATCACCAATACCGCCATCTGCATAGCAATGAATGTTACCAGTTTGCAACATATCATTAATATGCAGAAGAAATAGCGTTGGTGATAGCACGCAGCCTGGTGGAACACCAGCTTTTATAGGCTTGTAATCAGAGTATGCACTATATTATTGGAAAATTCAACGATACTTATCTGTTTATAGATAAAAATAAAAACATATTGTATATTTTCTACCAAATTATATTGGTATTTTTTTTTTCAAAAAAGAGCAAATCTCAAAATGATAAATCATAATAAAATCTCCAAAGAGTTAGTGGAACTTCGCTTTATGACACAAATAAAGAAAGTGATCATATTTAAAACAAAATATCAAAATCAAATGCGCATGTGTTATCGTGACCTGGTTGAATATGCGATCTGTCGGCGTTGCAGTTTCAGCTCAGTTGGAAGCAGACGAGTGAAGCTTACACTCGTTCCCTCGTCTGCTTCCAACACACACATATGTAATTATTAGTGCGATTGTTGTAATTTTGTTGTTAAACTTTATTGCTATTAACAACAAAGTGTACTGAAGTGTGTAATAAGTTCACGTCGTCTCCCAAAACTAAGAACTGGCCTCGTGTTGTGAGTGAGTTCAAAACATAAATTAAAAAGATAAATGTCTATGCACATTATTACATATTTATGAAAACTGGTTATAATACCTATCGAATTTCACAACTTTAATTGTTTTAAAAGAGTTTTATTATAAAAAAAAATTAAGAACTAATTTTATCTAAATTATTGCGTTTCTTTTAACCTATTTTTAACACTACGTTTATTCTCGAAATGTCGTGCGAGTAACTTAAGTAACATAAGTGAAGGAAATACCTAACGTACTTATATAAGTAATAATAAATAAATGGCTTATACTCTTAAATTATTTTTTTAATTTGATAGCGCGTGCAATTGTTGACGATGCTCTTTGTGATAGGCGATATAGATCATTTTATTATGGCAGCGTGTTCAGTAAACATATTTTCTTATCGTGATATTAATTTGATGAAGGTGCCAAGATATTATTATCTTAGAAATCTCTATCTTGAGCATGTAATTACTTTTCGTACCATTTATATTTTAACAGGACGACGAAGACTTACATCGGGCCCCATACGTGCAACCCCTTTCCGCAGCTGCTTGTCGCAAAGCATGAGATACCGCTATGCTCTGCAGCTGGTACCTTAGAAGACGCGGTGACTTCTACGTTGAGCTATCGTTGTAAAACATCAAGGAAATCGAGCATTTACTGTGAAACTACTGAAATATGAGCTTGATTTGACTCGTACATTTGTCACATAGATATTAACCGTCGCATAACCTTATTTCGATGTAATTGCTTTGATACTTGTACTTCTCTATAATTTCTTTTGTTTAAGAGACTCATTTTCTGAGAAATTTCTCGTTTTCTGAGAAATTCCTTTGTTATCAATCATATTTCAATTTTAATATGAGAGACTTGTTATAAATAAAATGTATAGGTACAACTACTCTTGATGCTATACTGGATATAGTCTATTATGTCACCTGAACCCAACTTGAAGTTAATCAAGCAACTCGTTTCCTTAAAAATTTATGAAATTAAAGCTGACAAAAGTCCTCACCCTTTTAGACACAGCATTCTTTTACCAAACTCCATTCGCTGCATAATATATGGTATTTTATGTAATTTTATTTTGAATAGTTAAAGGCAAATATTTTATTATTAGCATAACAATAATTCTCGTATATTCATAACAATAAATTCACCGTGTAGTGGCGGTTGAGAATATCCACTACCCCATATCTTCCCATGGGTTTCGTAAGAGGTGACAGAGGGACACAAAAAGGAGATGGGCAGCAGCTTCTTCCTAATAACAACAATAACATAATAAAAAACTGCGGTTGCCGACCCGCTCGCCAAGCGTGGCAACTATGGCAAATATCCCCCCATGAGCAACGACGCAAATAAATGGCCCCCAGTCCCCGACGGCCCCGCTATTCCTGGCTACGGTGGCGAACATGGTAACGGCGGGGCAGGGGGTGCTAAGAATCTCCGGTGGAGGTTCGGTTGCCACCTACGACGACTCGACCTGGCAACATATAAGCGCACGCACTCTGAGGACTGACGAGAAGATACTGGAGCCGGAAGAAGAGGTAGACAAGTTGCGCTGGCATATTATTGGATTATCTGAGGCCCGAAGAGAGGGGGAGGACACGGTAATCCTCGAGTGCGGCAACTTGTTCTAGATTACCGGGAGGGCGACCATCTGTCCCAAGGAGGTGTCGGATTTATCGTCCACAAGTCTCTCGTCAACAACGTTGTAAAGATTGGGAGTGTGTCGACGAGGGTCACGTACCTGATACTCAGAGTCACCAAACGGTATTCGCTGAAGGTCATACAGGTCTACGCACCAACCTCGGCACATCCCGATGAGGAGGTGGTAGAAATGTATGAGGATATTTCTAGAGCCATGCATTCCTCTAAAACCCACTACACGGTGTTGATGGGAGACTTCAACGATAAACTAGGCACAAGAGAAGGCGGTGAGCTGAAGTTAGGCAAATTTGGAGTAGGGCAACGGAACCGTAGGGGCCAGCAGCTGGCTGACTTTATGGAGAAAGAGGGACTCTTTATGATGAACTCTCTCTTCCAGAAGCGGCCCCACAGGAAGTGGACCTGGTCGAGCTCCGACGGTTCGACAAATAATGAGATTGACTTCATTATGACGACCAGAAGCCAACTGTTCAGTGATGTCTCAGTGATCGCAAGGGTGAAAACCGGCAGCGATCACCGAATGGTTAGAGGCACACTGGACCTTAACGTTAAGTTGGAGAGGTC